AGCTACCAGTCCACACTCCATAATATATATAATATTATGGAGTATATATAATAATAATATTAATACTACACTCAAGTTTTTCCACAAAACTGTTTATCCACCTATCCACATAGGTTGGTACAGGCTGGACGCAGGTGCAAGAGCATTATGGATACTAACAGTATAGTGTTGCATGAGTGATAGAAATGTGAAATACTGAATGCCGAATGCTGAAAGTTAGCTCATAGCGCTAGGTGCATAGCAGTAGGTATGTTACACACACTCGCTACGACAAGTACCTCCCGGTAGCTGCCTGTTTTTACAGGAAATACGTAAACATGTGGAAGCAAATAGCATTTCTTCTTCTCTATTTACAGAGACAGCTTGTGCATGTGGCACTGTTGAAGCAAGAGCCAGGAGCTTCATTCACCCTTGGTGACATCAGTCCTGTGCCCTGTATCTACTCTTCAGGTGAACACTTTCTAAGTGATGACGCGACGTATGGCATCACTGTGTCTTTTACAGCCATCAACCCAGGCCTGTATGACCAGTGGTTAGTGCTAGATTTTGACATGAGACCAGTGCTCTTGAGGAAACTCAGAGTAAGAGTAGGCCAGCTGCCTTTCGATGACACTGAAGACCAAACTGTGAACCGTCGAGCCACCTTTCAAAGTGTTGAGCGTTGGCATCGAGGGAACAGGATTATCATTCCATGTACATCTAGGAAAGAGGAACAGGAGGAGCTGTTAAAGGAGTACAAGCCTCCTCAGATAAGCTTTTTGTACAAATCATCAACAGCCAAAAGCCAAATACCTCTCAATAATGACAACTACAAAGAAAGAATGCATCACTTCCTGTACAATGAAGAACGGGCAGAGGACCAGGTTGTTTCAAGGTAATATGCTTATCTCTATCAATTTCTTTTTACAATGATTGGAATATGCACATATTTACAAAACAATGCCTAAGCCTTTTTTTCTCTTTACTTTAGACTAAATGTTTGTGGAGAAATTACAACACTGGATACACTGGACAATGATCAGTTTCCAATGATGATGGCTCCTTGGGGTCAACTGTTCTGTACTGTCTCAATTCCTTGTAATCTCACACCAGACACACCTGAGGGACAGGTGCTAAAACGAAGCATCCAGTCTGGCCTGATAGCCCCTTTATCTTCAGGTGGTCAAAACTCCAAAGTCTATGAAGCCATCATTCTGCAAGGCCAAACAAGTGAGAACAAAATGTATTTGCAACTGTCCAAAAAATGTTGCTCCGATCTTACAATCAAAAGCAATGAATCGTATCAAATGGAGGTGCAGTTTCAGCTGGACCGCAACAGCTTCTGCACCATGCACAAGGCTGTAGATCTTCTTCCTGATACAAAAAGAGTGCTACCAGACTTTAAAAGCTGTGGAGTTCCTGTGAATAACATCCGCTATGAGAAGCTCAATACAAAGCAGCAGTCAGCAATTTACTTTATCACAGGTACCTCCACTGTTCAAAAGTGTGTAGCACCACTCCTCATTTATGGACCATTTGGAACTGGGAAAACATTTACCCTTGCTACAGCAGCCAGAGAGCTTTGTAAGCAGCCCAACAACAAAGTGCTGATTTGCACCCACACCAACAGGTAATGCATACTATTGAAAGCATACCTAAAGGTCCAGTGTGTAACATTTAGGAGGATTTATTGGCAGAAATGGAATTATAGTTTTTTAAAGTATATCTACACACACCACGGATCACTTTCCATGGAAGCCACCATGTTGGACCACAGTATATCTTAGCCAAGAACAGACAACTAAAAACCAGTTCTAGATAGGTCTGTTGGCATATTTTGCACTTTTTAGTTAGTTGTTTCTCTTTTGCACTTGGGGAGGGGGAAGTCAGAGGACTGCATTCTGCAACTACACCGCTAGATGCAACTAAAACCTATACACTGGACCTTTAATAAAATGTTGTCATTTTTAAAATCTTTGGTTACTTTCAATTTGCTAATCTGGCTAGACTATTTGCTGTACTGTTGTAAAGAAGTTTTCTCTCTCTTTCAGTTCTGCAGATCTGTACGTCAGAGATCACTTCCATCCATTCATCGACAAGAAAAATGAGGAAATTAGGCCTATTCGAATAAAAGCAAACGGCAAAAAGGCTTTGTATGCCACAGATGAGATTACTTTGAAATACTGTTTTTTTTCGGAAGATGGACAGAATTTTCTACCACCTACAAAAGCTGCCTTAGATTGCCACAAAATAGTCATAACCACCACAACAATGGCAAGACATTTTCAAGACCTAAAGCTCCCAGAGGGATACTTCACCCACATACTAATTGATGAAGCCTCTCAGATGCTCGAATGTGAAGCCTTGATTGCCCTTGGCCTTGCTGGGCCAAACACCAGAGTGGTTTTGGCTGGAGACCATATGCAAATGGGACCCAAACTTTTCTCAGTTGATGATCATCACCGTTCAAATCACACACTCCTTAATCGCTTGTTCCACTACTACCAAGATCACAATTGTGAAGCTGCCCAGAACAGTAGAATCATATTCAGTGAAAACTACCGCTCAACCAAAGAAATCGTGGAGTTTGTCTCCACCAATTTCTACGTTGGTAAGAATGATGTTATCAAAGCTACTGGAAATATTCCAGCTCCCGCAAATGGCCGTGCCCTGAAGTTTCACCATGTTAGGGGAGAGTGCCTCTTGGACACAGTGTCTATGTCTTGGTATAACAAAGAAGAGGTTGCAAAAGTGGTTGAAGAAGTGCAAGAGATTCTCAAACACTGGCCATCGACCTGGGGGACCATAGACCAAAGCTCAATCTGCATTCTATCAGAGGGATTTCAGGTAAATTAAAACTTTGCAGTTGCCAAAAAGATTAATTACATCAATGATACAGTGAAAAGTTCTGTATAAATGTATTAACACAGTCATTGTTGGATTTGGTCAAAGTTGTAATTATCTTAATTGTTTCTTGTGGTTTGTAGGTTCGGCAGATTAGGGCAGTGCTTTTGAGAAGAAGCCTTGCTAAAGTCCATGTTGAGAATTTAGCAAATGTGCAAGGTAATTTTATTTTTATCTTCAGGAATTCCTTCATGATTATGCCATTATGTTAGACATAAAGGGTGGCTCAACTTAAACTGAGCATCTGTCTGACTATTCAAACATTATAATTCCATTATCCTTCATACACTGTAATAATTGTTGTCTTCATTTGTTAACAGGCAAACAGTTCAGGGCAGTCATAATGACAGCTGTGCAAACACGTGACAGCCTAAAAACATCTCACCTGCCTGGTCTGGAGCTGTTCAATGATGCCCGTGTGTTAAACACTGCAATGACTAGAGCTCAGTCCCTTGTGGTTGTGGTTGGAGATGCTGCTGCCCTCTGTTGTTTTGGGAAATGCTCAAGAGTCTGGAAGAGCTATGTGGACCATTGCATCTGCAAAAACAGTGTTGCGCCACAGCATTTTACCAAAGACTTATTTGAAAAGGACATCATGGAAACGGCAAGGTTTCAAAAGTCTGAACATGTGGATAAGAGCAAAACTCACAGTGATGCAATTCTTCAAGAGTTGAAAGATGAACATGAACAGCAGAAAACAGAATATAGTTCAGATGAAGACAGTTCAGACATCAATCACCTCAAGTTAAGATCTTCACACACAACCACAGATGTTGACACAGACTATTTGGAGTTATGTAAAAAACAACCAGAGATATACAAGCAAGGAAAGTTGATCAGGGAGTCATATAACAGAGGTTATGTCATACCATTTCAAAATCCCATTAATCGAATAAGCATTAATGGAAGGGCAAACCTGAATACAGTCTTCACTGGAGACGAAGTGGTTGTACAGACAACAAGGGTGGTCGGCATCACCAAGGAAGAGGAATCAGCACGTGTACTTGTGTGCCTGCTTGAGGATGAGGATAACAGCAAACCAAGACAGAATTCTGAAGAAGAATTTGTCACAAGGATGATGATGCCCATTACAAAATCTGCACCTAAAGTACGCATACGGATCAGCAGGAAAAGACGTAACTTCCTTCCAATATGGGAAAACATTAATGGATGGTGGACAATTGCATCCTGTGTTTATCTCGATGAAAAGCTGAGACAGAACAATGTATTTGTGGTGCAGGTAATTTGCTGGAAAAGAGGGTATGCTTTTCCATTGGGGAAAGTCATAGATATTCTTCCAGTCGGAAAATCTTTGAATGATGCACTATGGATCCTGAATGAAGAATTTAAAGTTTTACCCACTCCATATACATCAGACGAGGGTTTCTCCTGGGTAGATGAAGACAGGACATACAGACAGGACATACGTGAGGTAATTACTTTCACAGTTGACCCGAAAGGAGCAAAAGACTTGGATGACGCTATCAGTGTCAGGGACATTGGAGACCAATATGAATTGGGAGTCCATATTGCAGATGTAGCAAGCTTTGTGAGTCCAGGTAGTAAACTAGATGAGGACGCAAAACAACGTGGCACTACATATTACTGCGGTGGGGAAAAACCCACAGCAGTATATCATATGTTCCCCCAAGGCTTTAGCACTGGACACTTTAGTCTTCTGTCAGGTCAAGATCGCAGGGTGGTTTCATTAATGTTCAGAGTAAACAAGAAAACAAATGAGATCATTGGAAAGCCCGAATTCCAGCTGTCACTGATCAATTCTAATGAGAACTTATCTTATGAAGAGGCAGAGGATATAATCTCCAAAAATTATGGGATGATACAGATATTTGACACAGTAAATGACTGTGTCACAGTGGCTTATTGTTTTGCAAAAGCTCAAAGGAAGATGAGACTTGGCCATGACTGGGTTTATTCTCAACCTGATGATCAGAGATTGCCCGGAGAGCGCAAAGCCCATCTCATGATAGAAGAGCTAAGTGTGTTATTCAATGCACATGCATCTGAGACTTTGATTGGTTCAGAAAAAACCAGGTCTTACACACCTCTTCGCTGCCAGGCAAACCCAGATCCTGAAAAGATAGAGGAGTTAAGAAAGACAAAATGTGCTGAATTAATACCACTGTCTTTTTATGTGCGGCACAAAGTTGACCATGTGGAACAAGTACCAAACCATGAAAACTTCCGCATCCTCACAAAAGTATGGAAAGAAATCCAGTCAGCGGCCAAAAAAGGTGATATAGACAAAATGGTGGACCTGATTGCTGCAGATGACATCCACCCTCTGCTTCAGCCAGTCGTTCAGCAGTTCAGAAGATGTTTCAGTAAAGCCTATGTCATCCGTTCCAACTCCTCTCCGAAAGCAGGGGTTGGGCATTATTCTCTGAGCGTAAGATCTTACACCCAAGCATCCTCACCGATACGGCGGTACATGGACATCGTCGTGCAGAGACTTTTGCACTCCATCATTTGTCACAGGAATGTCCAATACACTCGAACTGAGATTTCAACTCTGTGCAGTCAATTTGATCTCTATATCAAGAATGCCAAGGAGTATGAACAAAAGGCTGAGCAGATCTCCTACGCAGTGAGCATGAAAAAACACAGTGCTTCAAAGTTGGCCTTTGTTGTGAGTACAGAACCCAACAAAGATAGTTTTGCGGTCTCATTTCCTTTTAACAAGAACATATTTGCAGAGCGTTTAGCAATTATGTACAAAGATTTACAATTGTGGGACCAACCATTGTATGATGAAGAAAAACACTGCATCACTCTTACATGGAAAAGGCGGATCTATGCAGTTGACACCATGCAAATCTACCAAGAGTTGAACATGCCAGACTGTGATCCCTGTGTTGAGCTTCCACTGAAAATATGGAAAGCCACTGTTGAAGCAATTGACGAAGAAAACTGGGATCATGCAAAGCTTCTCATAATGGACGTTAACACAGAGGTTGAAAAAGAATATATTCTGCCACAATCATCTAATGAGATTCCTTATTCCAAGACTAACACGTGTACCTCTGAGGAGCAAGAGGTTCCAAAGATACAAATGGGTCATGAGGTTGACATGAGCCTCCAGTTGCAAACAGGTGACATCCTTCAAGTCCAAATGACATCAGAGTTAAAAAGAGGTTATTACATGCCTGCTGTTCAGTTGGTGCACATTAAACCAAAGTTTGAGATTTGTGTCGATCATGTCCACAGCCCTATCACATGCTTCTCCAGTTCAGCCGATGTCCCATCAAGGATTCATTATAGTGACATAGAGCAGTATAAACAGATCTGGCAACCGTTGTGTGACATGGAATCTGCTGCCACTGCAGTTGACGAAAGTGAGAGCATAGTCATTGAGAACCTGGTGGTAAACTTCAGTCAAGTACGGGAAGGCATGCTAACAGGAAGCTTCTTCTTACCTCTGGCATGGATCAATGAATGGGCCATTGGATTTCACCTTTCAAAATGTTTATTGTGCATAAGGAAGAGAGGTTTGAAGTTGACTTCAACCTTGGAACATTCTGCATCGGTGGACCCAAGCGAGTACACATGGGTGGCCCATGGTGTCACAAGAAAAGAAGAAAGGAAAAACCCTCCAAATGAAGGAAGTGAAGTGGAATTCTACATCAGTCACCTTCCGATGGAGATAATTCCGGATTGTGTCTTACAGAAAAAAACTTCTTTCACAGTTGAAATAATCCCAAAGCTCCTGCCTGACATGTAAGTTCAAGTGTAGTTCATTTTGATCACACCAATGTTACATTGCCTATTGTTTGACTTTTCATCTCACACTTGCTTGCAATAACATTGCGGACAAATGCTGATAAACTTTTTTTTTTTTCAGCTTGAGATTAAACTGTTGTGTGGTTTTGTATATTTTTTTAGCCGGAAAGAACATGCTGTGCGCAACATTGGATCTGCATGTGATCTTGTCAAGGCTATAGCACTTGGACAACGCATTCCAAAAGAAGGTATTTCCATTAGTCAGCAGTTAATAAGGGCATAGATTTTAACTGTTTGTATTCCTGTAAATCACACATAAACTTGTTATACATTCCTGTAGTGTAATTTAAATCTGATTAAATTATTGTACATTTCTTGCAAAACGTTGTCATTTTTCTTTGCAGTAAAAGCAACATGGCTGGGAGGAAAGAGGAACGAGCTACCAAATGTACTGCCAGAGCTTAACCTGAGTCAGCGTCTTGCTGTGGATAACGCTCTAAATCATACCTTCACTCTTATACAGGGACCACCTGGTAAGAGCTGGATTTTTCACCCTAATGCATCAAATTTTCTTACAAAGGCTTGAGCCATTTTTCCTATCTGTCTCTTAGGAACTGGAAAGACAGTAGTGGGTGTGTACATTGTGTACCATTTCTTGGAGCTGAACTCTAAGAACCCAAGGAAATTTCATGATCCAAAGGATGGGAACAAAAAGGAAGTTATTCTCTACTGCGGCCCATCCAACAAGTCTGTTGATGTTGTTGCAGGCAAGTCACTTTATTTCTCTGCTGAAATTCCAGCTGTTTTTCCTTCTGTTACTATAACCCATGTTGTGTGTGTTTTTTACTTTTGTAACACAGGCTACCTGTTAGGGTTTGAGGACAGTCTAAGACCCCTCAGGGTCTATAGCCAACAAGTGGAGATGCTTGATTACCCTTATCCAGACTGCACCCTTCAGTTTTCCCGGAGGACTCTCCGCCAAGAATGTGCCAAACCAGAGCTCAGGTATTATAATCACACCAGCTGATGAGACTCAGTTTTCATCTTTTTTTCTGAATTAACTAACACTGGCATATTGTACATTGTTTTAGGGGAATCACTCTGCATCACCGCATGCGACAGGACCAAAACCCTCATTCAGGTCAAATAAAAGATTTTGACCGACGCATTAAACTTGCCCTGGTGAAAAAAGAAGAGCTCCCAAGCATTCATCTTTCAATTAAGAAAAATGAAGAGCTGCTACGCATTCAGCTGACACCTAAGAAAAAAGAAGAGCTGCTACGCATTCAACTTTCCCTTGACGTAAAAGAAGACCTCCAACAAATTCAACATACCCTTGAGGAAATAGAAGAGCTCCGACGCATTCAACGTGGTCTTAAGGAAAAAGAAGAGGTCAGACGCATTCAACTTGACCTTGAGGAAAAAGAAAAGTTCCTACGCATTCAACTTGGCCTTGAGAGAAAAGAAGACCTTCTACACATCCCACTCGGCCATGAGGACATAGAAGAGCTCCTACGCATTCAACGTAACCTTAAGGAAATATTAGAGCTTCAACGTATTAAACTTGCCCTTGAGGAAAAAAAAGAGCTCCGATGCATTCCACTTGCCCTTAAGGAAAAAGAAGAGCTCCGACACATTCAACTTGCACCTGTAGTAAAAGAAGAGCTCCAACGCATTCAACATGCCCTTAAGGAAATAGAAGAACTCCGACGCATTCAACTTGCTCGTATGGATAAAGAAGAGGTCAGACGCATTCAGCTTGCTGTTCAGGAAAAAGAAGAGCTCATACGCATTCAACTTTCCATTAAGGAAATAAAAGTGCTTAAATGCCTTAAACTTCACCTTGAGAAAATAAAAGAGCTGACTGCTGAACAGGTGAAAGAGTAAGTTCATATGCACCATTGGTTTAGCAAATTTCAAACCTGCATGAAAATTATGAAAAGTCCCTTATTAGTCGGTGAGAAGAGGATTCCAACATACTAACTTTTAGTAGTCAAGGGTTTGCAAACCCTAATCTAATATTATAGTATAATAATCATGTTTGACTTGTGACAGCCACAGTTTTTCATGTAGGAACAGATATTGTACATAAAGACATAGCTCTTTTTAATATTCAGGTTTAAGACTGGCCCAAACTGTATCCTCAATCTAAAAAAAAAAAAAAATCCACCGTCAATGCTCTACGTGTGTAGCTCAGCCCTGCCCTCAGTCAAACAAGACACAAACCTGCAGCTCTATATACATCGATGACACAGATAGAGAGCAGCGGAGACAGCAAGATAACCTGGTTACTGCATTATTATGGAGTCCCAACCTTACCCTGCACACTGGCCAATGGTTGACGCCAAGCGGCACATTTTTACACTGTAACTGATGCAGCTAGAAATGTAACAATACTTGTTATAAAAAGTGGGTAGTAAGTAAAAGTAAAATTGTTAATTTTAAAGAACATTCAAAAAAGTACACAAAGTACACAAAAGCTCATCGATGCACGTGGGGAGTGAAGGCTGGCCCATGTGGTCAGATCCAACAGACAAGCTACTGCAGCTCAAACTGCTGAAAAAGTTCATGCTTGTTCTGATAGAAAGGTGTCCGAACGCACATTGCATCACAGTTTGTTTTGTATGGGGCCGCGTAGCCGCAGACCAGTCAGGGTGTGCAGGTGATTATAATGTTATGGCTGATTGGTGTAATTTGTTACTTCTACCTCCAGTAGTGTCCAATCTAGCCCTATTCGGGACCATCTCATCCATTTGAAAAATTATTTTAAAAGAGTAAGAGAGAGAAGGGAAACAAAAAATAGGAACGTTTGGATTTGAAGAACTTTATTTGCAGGTCTAACTGTATGGATTGTTTTTCCTTCTAGATACAAAAAACTTCTCACCCTTGCTCGGACATATGAGCTTGAACAGCATGACATCATACTGTGCACATGTACACAGTCTTCCACACCAAGCTTGATTAAAACAGTCATCGCACGTCAGATCCTCATTGATGAATGTGCAATGGCCACTGAACCACAGGCCTTGATTCCATTAGTCAGCAACAAACCAGAAAAGGTGAGGTTTTAATTTAACATTGGTATCCTGCTTGTGCATTAACATTGTCTTTAATGTGTCTGCATGCTAATGATCAATGCGGCTTTCTTCGTGCCCTGATTCATGAAAATAATGCTGAAATTACATTGTCAGAGCACAATGAGCTTTAATATCTTTTATAAGTAGTTTCATACTATGTGTTATGTAACACTGGAGTGACAAAGGTGCTACGAGCTTTGTTGTATAGTCCAGCATGGAAATTCATTTTTCTCAAAGGATTATTTCCAAGGATAATTGTACAGTAACCGCCCAATTCGTTTCTCGAGTCTAACTGGCAGGTCAAAACTTCCCCTCGGCCAACAGTTTGGTCACTGGCAATAAACAATATATAGAATAAACTACTGGCGACATTTCCATTAAATTAGTTGTAAATATTCTCGACAGGGAATCAATCCTTATGTTTCTGATGACCTTTTCGTCTTTCCTCTTGACTCTCCATCAGACTTTCCACTTGTACACAATAAATATCAAAATATAATGGGGAGATTTGTTGAGCACATTCATGTCCCCAGTAGTTTCAAGCCTTTGCATTTCAGACTAGAACAATATGTCGGTTGGCCAATAATGGCCTATCACCAACAAATCGGTATCTTATCAGTATTGGCCATATGTTATCCCATATGCGCAATTACAGGAAAACATTTTTGCCCGGTAATGCAGAAAAAAATGCTTGTTTATGTAACATGTTAAAGAATATTTAACTTGGTAGAGCTTGCTTTCCCTCTCTCTTCCCCCTTTCTTGTCAATCTTCAACTTTCCTATCCAATTGTATTTTACTTAAATATTCTTCAAGAAAGCTTAAGAAAGCAGCATTCTCAATACGTTTGCATCAGTGCACAATCCACATAGAAAAGGTTTATTTTCATTCTAGCTCAGAAATTCACCAATTACTGATATGGCAGCCAATCAGTAATTGTTAATTTCTATTTTTCCCCTCTGAAATAGGTATTGGTCTCAATTATCTCATATCGGGGATACCTGGTAGAGCTGGTGCCCCATGTACCAACGCTGAGTCCTTGCAGCAGCGGCCACGGGTTTGACTACAACCTGTAGCCCTTTGCTGTGTGTCATCCTCTCTCTTTTCCCCCTTTCCTGCCACTCTTCATCTGCCATGGCTGATTAAAGGCAATAAAACCCCCACTAAAAAATATTTTTAAAAATCCAATGTCGGTTTGGCTCTATTTCAGACAAAGGGTTCTCTGAGTGCTGAATGCCAGCTAACACAATTACAGGGGTTTAAGGCACTGGTCTCATCATTGCTCACCAACATTGGTGTTAAAGGTATTTACTCTAATGTCTTACAATGTCACTTTTAGATTGTTTTGATCGGTGACCACAAACAGTTACGACCCATTGTGAAGAATGCACGTGTGAAGAAGCTGGGGATGGCCAAGTCTCTATTTGAACGCTACTATACAATGCGTGGGAAAAGGACAGTGATGCTAGACACCCAGTACAGAATGGTGAGGACATTAAAACACTGTTTTTATACATACAGTATATATGCATTATGTTTCATGCAGTATTGTATATTTATACATATGTACTTACTGTTGCAATATTGTATAACCTTATGTCTGTGTTACTCTTTTAAATTGTAACCAACAACTATCCATTATGTACCTTCATAGCATGTGAACATATGCGAGTTCCCATCAAAAGAATCTTATGAGGGAAAGCTGAAAACTGGGGTGGAGCAGCCGAACAGTGTCCTGCGTGTTGGAGATAAGACAATGCCAGTTGTTTTTGGGGACATCGAAGGAGAGACCATCAGACTGGTTGTCAACACCGCCAAGGGCAACGAGAATTCTAAAGCAAACAAGAAAGAGAAAAACAAAGTGGTACTGTATTGGGCACCCATGCATTTCCTTGTTGATTTTAAACAGTAATATTAATATATAGGGCTAACGCATATTATAGGGGTCTCCAACCTTTTTGAGAGTGAATGCTATCAAAGAAAGAAAATTGTCGGGAGGGCTACTCTGTGTACTTGACGAACATCAGTGTTATGCTTTTAGTAGCATCATCATCTACAGCGGTGAACCAGTTGGAATTGGAATTGCAGGTGTGGAAGTTATTTTTTGCTCTGGTCGTGGTATTACCACTGAAGGCTCTTATGAGAAATCTACTATGTTGGAGACCCCTGCTATAAAGTCAGTTAACCTGATTGTCAGTGACATTATTATTGCTTTACATCACTGCTTTTGGTTTGGTTCTTTTGCAGATTGACATTGCTGATAAGCTGGTGAAAATTGGCAAAATCGAACAGCAAAGCATTGTGATTCTTTCGCCCTATAATGCCCAAGTGTCAGAAATCAGAGATGCCCTGAAGGAGAAGAAAATGGATGAAATCCTTGTTACCACAATCACTAAAAGCCAAGGTGACAGTGTACCTCTCTTACATAACAAGTCCTTTTCTGAAATTAAAGTACCACAATGGAAGAATATTCTACAATAGAAGAATTGTTCCTCTTACAGTGTGACACCGATATGTTACCACAAGCATCTTTGCATTAAATACGGGAAAAAACTGTTGTCTTATTGGAGCATATACCCACCCTGTATATACAGTATGCATTACATTAATGCACCCCCGTCTTCTGCACAGTTTTCTCTTCTTATCTTTCTTATCTTTATCTATTTATATTTTGAAAGTACTTTATTTTTCTGTGTGATTTTTGTGTGATTTGTATATTTGCATATTTGTATTTGTATATTTATATTTTATGCACCAATTGCACCAGGTCATATTCCTCATAGGCGTTAAAACCTACTTGGCAATAAACAAAATTCTGATTCTGATTCATATCGGATAACATACATGCCCATACCGCTCCGATACCAATATGTCTGCCATGATATTGACTGACCGATATATCGGTTGGCGTCAGGTTTTTCATGATTTAGACTTGTTTTCTGGCCATGTAAATAAACGTGACTTGACTGGTATTTTGGTGCAGTTCAGAGAAAACTAAAGAAAAACCTCCCCTCTCGCTTTTGTCTTCTAGGAAGTGAATGGCGTTACGTCATCATATCGACAGTCTGCTCTCTGCCAAGTGAAGAGATTGAGAGTGAACCCAATGGAGCTTGGCTGGCCAAACATCTGGGCTTTGTGGGCGATGCCAATCAGATAAATGTGGCCATCACCAGGGCCAAGGAGGGACTGTGCATCATTGGTAAGATACTGCAGCTCACCTCTTTTTTATGCCTATGCTTCAGGATGAAAGCTCATAGGGCCTCATGACTCAAATGTTTCTGTCCTCTCAAAGGAAACCAGAAGCTGCTCAGTCGCAGTAAAGCTTGGAAAAATCTCCTGGACCACTACAGGAGCCATGATGCAGTGACAGATGCAAACAAGATTTCAGTGTGTGCCAGCTAGCTCGTCTCTGTGTTTTCTAGAGATTTGATTTCTACAAGCAGCAGATTAGAGCCCCCTATGCTTACACAACAGCATGACTTCATGAAAGATGTATATATTTATAGCTTTTTTCTATGGTTTTCCAGTAAGTTTGTGTGCATTCTTTTTACATTTTTATAACAGATTTTGGACCAACATTTTAATTATTCTCTTTAATATGTGTCTGTTATTATGAAATTATACAAATTCTATACCAGCTGTATCAAGATTTTTATTTTTTACATTTTAAACGTTCAGGTTCAAAGAGTTTTTTGTTTTGTTTTTTTAATTTTCTCTTTTGTTACCACAAGTTAAAATATTGTATATAAGAAAAGTACAGTACTGTGTTTTTAAGAGACTTGATCTCTACAAGCAGTAGATCAATGCCCCTGCATTTACACAACAGCATGACTTAATGAAATATGTTTTATTTGTATGGTTTCACAGTTTGTGTGCATTTTTTTTACTTTTTTATAAAAGATTTTGGACCAACTTTTTATTGTTCTCTTTAATATGTGTCTGTAATTGTGAAATTGAACAACTTCTATATCTTCTGTATCTAGAATTGTATTATTTACATTCTAAACCTTTAGGTTCAAAGAGTTTTTGTTTTTGTTTTTTGTATTTTTCTTTTTTCTTACCACAAGTTAAAGTACAGTTAATACTCTTAACTATGGACAGCTGACAGAAGAGTTCTTAATGTTTGGATCTTTTAATTCATTTTTATGGTTCAGTTGAACCACTTCCAGTGAGCCACTGTTCCTGTTTACTGAATGAGTCAGCATATTCTTTATTGTAGGACAGCTGGACAGTAAGGCTAGTATGTAGTTTCTTTATATTGGACCTCTCATATTTTAGTTTTTGATACTTTTAAATGTTCAGGGATCAGCTTTGGCTATGTGTTAACATTATTTGTATTGTGTGAAATTGAGATTGTTTTGCGATTTACATTGCATTTTGTTTCAGAAAAGACATGTCATAGCAGATTAAGCATGGATGTGTTTTAATAGCGAATGCATCACATGAGGCTAAGCCGCTATATCCTACACTTTGGAACTGGGTCATAAGTTAATATTCATCCTTTTACTTAAAATGTAATTTCCTTAAAGTTTTTTCTTGTTTTATCTGGTTGAAATGTTCTTTTATGACTTGTGTTTTTTTTTTTTCCCGAAAACACTTTGTACCTTGGATTTTGAAAAGTGCTCTATTAATAAAGATCATTATCATAACTGTACTATTATTTGTTACAGCTGTTTTTTTAATGTCTGTTCTAAAGTCTAATTTATGGTATGAAAGAGCTTTCTTTTGGTTGTGATTAAAAAGTATGATTTTTTATAAACATTCTCAACCCAAATTTTTAAAATTAAATGAGATGCATGCATCATGTTTGGTTTGGGACAAAGACAGTTGAATCATTTTCCTAACGAAGAAAACATTAAAAAGTTGTTTTTGGAGGGAAACCAAAAGGGGAAGGCAGAGTCAGGCCCTCACAACTCTCACCATCTGTCACCAGCATGCAGAGAAGGAGGTCATTTTGAACCTTTTATTTGATTAAGTAAAATGCTCTGTCAACTTATATCTACAGTCTTGGCAAATTGATCAACTGGTTGTAATACTTGTAATACTTGAGTGGTGGCAGCAAGCAAACAAAAAGCACTAAAAACAACCACATTTGTAAAGTTCATTGGCAGTGTGGTCATATTTGCCCCTAAAAATGCCATTATGGCTACTGTTAGTCACTAGAATGTCTGGTGTTGATCTATATTTCATCTCACTGGCACCAGAAAATAAGGACACCCCCTGAACATGGACACCATGGAAGGTGACCCGTGGCATCTGTAGAAAACAGCTCATTCAAAGGTAACAAAAATACAGTGATTCTTATTTTCAGGTGATTATACACTAGTGAAAACATACTTAT